CCTGCACTCAAAATGGACGTAAACTCAACAATCAATCAATCCTCTTTCAGTTTCTAGTGGCTTCCAGTCGTCGCTTAAAGCATCAATCTCCTGCAAGATTCATTAAAAAAACGGCTTTTTCTACAGAAAGTGTACTTTTCCGCACACTTCGTCGGCTAACCGGAGGCTAGCAGAAAGGACTGACCACAATTTTCGTGTTTATCTTGTAGAGGCCGGTCACAATCGCCTGCAGCATGCCGCGTGCGTAATGGATGCACCAAGTGCGCCGAGTTATGTATTTGAGGGTGATACCGGCCTCGCAGACCCGCAGACAATTGAACCTGGGCGGCGACATCTTGGGAAACTTGAGGATGAGATGCTCGTGCAGGTAGTCGAGGCTGTTGAGGAAGGAGCCCAGCTCGCGGCCGAGCACGCGGATTATGTTGAAGTAGTTCGACTTGAACAGACTGTGCATCAGACAGACGCCCGAGCCGAACAGAATGTCCTGTTTGTTGGTACCGGTCAAGTCGGACGCCACCATGGCCATGCGCAGGATCAGGTCGCAGGGGTGCATGCCCTCCTGAGCGAACGGCTCCGACAGACAGACACTGAATTTGGCGGCAATCACATCGCGAGTTTCTGTTGAACAATTCTCCATCAGGTAGATACGAAGACCCTCCAGCAGAATGCCGTACATCGTGCTGAATGTAGCTCGTCGGGGCTGGAATATTTCAGTGAAGAGGATAATCCAAGACGAGTTGGGTCACTGAGGCAAAGTCTTCAAGCCACGAGAGTAGGGCAAATGCGAGTAAAAGAGGACGAAGCCCACGAACGAGGCTAGATTACGTGTTGCCGAGGCAACCAATCCTCTGGCCGAGTAGTCTGTCCCGCATAGCAACCGCAGACTGTCTATCCTGTTGGGCCGAGTGGAGGGAGGAGCGACAGACGCCAGCTCATCTGCTTCACGAAAACCGTGTAGAAAGTCGGCTTAGAGACGAGCTCTTAACGCTCCGGCCTAAAGGCGCTTGATCTGTTGCCATGTCGAGAGGTATGCTTTATTTGTCAAAGGTTCAGGCCGCAACTGCCTCGTGGGCACAAGAAGGCACCGACACAAGAGAGAAAAGCAAGCCCAACTAATAACTCACTTCCGGTTTGCACCGGTTTGGCCAATCTCATCGTTCTTGCGGACATAATGCACCCAGCCTCACCCCGTCATGTTCGGCATCATTCGAAACATTTTGGACTCCTTCCTCTCATTCCGTCGTGGCCTCTGCTCATTTCCCACCGCCGATGCCAAAGTAAGGTTGTCTTTCCCTCACAAAGTCGGCCACTCGCGAATTCATATAAAGTGGGCTGGCCAACTGACACGTTGTCTGGTCCATCCGGACGCATAAACATGTACTCCTTGCACACACAGTCCCGGCAAATGTTTGCGCAAAAGGGACGTAATGTAGTTTCCGGTCCAGCGTCCGGCGCCGTGACGACGGAGGGAGCGCCTGACCCGGACCACCGAACAGTCGAGCCGAGTCATGTGGATTGGCCATTGAAAGAGGTTTGAGTTGTGCTCACCCGATTTCGTGTAAAGTGATAAAGTATTGTGACATGATTCTTCTTTTCGAAGGGAAAGGTGGTGCTTGGAAGGAATGGGTGATGTGGTCTCACCGAAATACAAAGTAGGATTGTCGCGAGGGGTGAAGACTGTTGAATTGTGTGAACAAGTCATGCCACCTCGATCAAACTGTGCCAAGCTTTCGTCTGTACCATCGTGACAGACATCGTCAGAGCAAGATTTCATACTTTACGAAATAGGGCAAAAATATACATCTCATACTACTGATTTACTGGTAGTCACGAAAACAATACTTTATTGGAAAAATAAATTATTATAGTCTATTGTTATAGCAAAACATACATTCCACCAAAAGAATATGATATGGCAAAAAAGTCTGACCTTCCTTGAAAATTCACATTTGACCTGTGACCCAAAAGAGGCTCGTGGCAGTGCAGCCGAGTGGTTGATGTATCAAGCTCACATGCCGTATTGTCATGGTTCGACTCCCGCTGAGGGTGTTGATAAGACTGATGCGAGGTCGAAACTTCAGTCCACTTTAGGCTGGATGAGAACAACTTTTGGGAAAGCAAGTCTATGTGAAATTCAGTGGGAAAATTCTTCTTCTACCAGTCCTTCGTCACCTTAAACGAAATTTAGTGAATACATCCCATACTACTTATTTACTGGTAGTCATGAAAACAATACTGAATTGGAAAAATAAAATATACTTGGTTTAGCATATTTTTACTCTATTTCGTGAGTATGGATACCTGCTTTGATGATGTCTGTCACGCAGGTACAGACGAAAGCTTAGCACAAATAGTATCAGGGTCGCAGAACGGCAAGCCGAGGACTTGTTCGCACAATTAAAACGTTCTTCCCAACGCGACAATCCTCCTTCGGTTTCCGAGAGACCACATCACGAATTCCTTCCAACCAACTTTCCCTTCGAAATGGAGAACGATGCCACAATATTTCGTAAAGGAATTCTACGAAACCTGTTTTTTTCACACATCTTTAAAGTGATGAAGGACTAGCAGTTGAATTTTCCCGCAATCATATGAGTAGAGCTGATGTTTTCCATTCTATTTCACATAGTCTTGCCTTCCTCAAATTGTTCTCATCCCGGATGAAGTGGACTACATTTTCGATCTCGCCTCGGCTTTATCAACACCCCAAGCGGGAGTCGAACCACGACAGTGCAACGTGCAAGCTCGACACGTTGCCCACGACGCCGCATTGCCTTG